CTTTTTTTTTTTTTTTTTTTCCCGTTTTTTTTGGGAATACCGGTCGTTCGTCGCTAGGTACCCCGCCCGACACGGCGCGTTAATGGCCGCGCCGGATTTTTTTAACTGGGCGAGGTACTGGTGGTTTAACTGGGAAAAGTCGGTCTATATACTCCCCCCCCCTGTTCACTCTCTGCGTGGATTGGGGCCTGAAACTGATTCCAGTCAACTCCTAAGACAGTTTCCTAGGCGTACAGATCTCCCACTTGGACTGCTCGGGAACCCAAGACTCACTCCTCAAAGACAAAGTAGTTGGCAAAATTCTGAGCTGGGTTAGAAACCATAAGCTCTCCCTTTTTGGGAGAGCTTTGGTTCTCTCATCAGCAGCCTTCTCTACTCTGTGGTTCCCCCTCACTTCGCATTTGAGGGGGAGGAGGCTTACGAGGCAATAAAGGCGGCAGGGGCAAGATATGTTTGGAAGCCACAAGCAGAGGAAGGCCAACGATGTATTGTGAAGGTAGCATGGGAAATCATTTCCTGCCCTAGAGATCAAGGGGGCTTGGGGATCCTGGAGCCCCACTACCAAAACATTGCCCTACTGGCAAAGTGGCCGGTAATGGCTATGTTTGGCCCAAAAGATAAGTTTCGGGTAATCCTGGCAGAATACATAATGCAGCAGGAATGGAACCTCCAAAAAGGGGCCCACGTCTGGTTGTGCTTACTGATTAAATCATACTGCCAAAGATGCCCTTCCTTCGGCATTTGGGAAAATATTTTATTTGCGTGGAACAAAGTGTCCACCCACCCCCTGAGAGAGTCTATCTCTTAGGAAGAAATACTCAACCAGGTGATATTTGAAAATAGTTTTATCAAGCTTAACGACAGTGGCCTACTGCTGGCTGATGGCAGAGCAGGCTCGTTTGGAAGAGCCTGGATTGCGAGAGGAATGTTACAGATCAGGGATCTCTGGGACAACCGAGAAGGAGATTGGCTCCCCCTACCGAAGGTAAGGGAGATGCTTCCCAGACTGCAAAGCCTTGAAACAAATTTCAAGATGGTGAGACAAGCCACCCCTTCACACTGGCTCTCAGCCTTAAAGCACCAGTACACCACACATTGGCCCGCGGGTGTCAGCATGAAGCCCGCACCACTTCAAAGGCCAGCAATTGTTTTTTTCAACGACGCCCCTGGCCGTGCGGCGGCTCCAAGTTTAGCTTGTGGCGACAAAAACATTCTGCAAGGCTGGGGCTGTGTACTAGTGGTTTAAGGGAAGGAACAGAATTTAACCAGGGTACCTGGCTGCAATCTGATGAAGGTAATGGAACACAGTGTTGGGCCCGGACCACAGAACAGGAATAAAGATACAATGCTGGTCACGCAACATCTGGAGAGGGGACAGATTGAAGTACGTGAAAGACGCCACCATCCCTTCTACGGTGGGATGCTTGGAAGCGAGAGTATGGGAACAGCAAGGCAAACTGGCTCCGGAAGTCCGAATCCTCAATCTGGGGGCTGGTTACACTGGGGTGGAACCATTACCGGTAGGGTGGACTAACTCGACATCGGAGAGTACACCTACCCCCCTGCATTCCCACAGGACAAAAACTGGAGTGCTATTGCTGCGCGATAAGGTAATCAAAAAGCAGATAGGTACAGTCCAAAGAAGACTGGCAGCCCTGCAAATCACAGACATACAAGATAACGACATGTTCAGACTGTGGAAAGCCTTAAAAAAGATGCCCTCGCAAAGGCAGGCGGCCATCCTCTGGCTCCAGTCCCTCCAAGTCACACCTACAGCACTGTGGCTCAACTCAACAGGTAGTGATATATGCCCAGTTGGGCAATGTATGTTCATCCAAGGATCCGCAAGGTGATGAAAAGGACTGAATGGACAATGCAGTGTTAGTGGAATCTCAACAAGCAGTGTACATCCAGATACATACAAAATGGAACTTTGTAGCGCAGTGGAAGACTTGGATATAAATCCTGACCTGACCGGGACTGACACGGCATCCCATCATACTTCACACATGTGAGAGGAGGAGATACCAAACTGTTGCATACCATAATGGTGCAAACCAGAACAAGGACCGACCTCCCTCACATAGTACAAGATAGCGCAGCGGAATGCTAGGATACCAATGATCAACCCAATCAATGTCGCAATGCAGACCCAACATTCATCATCATCATCGCAACGTGTGAAAGGCCTGGCGCAACACACAGGAAGAACGGCGCCAGGTCCAGATCATACACAGACGAAGAGGAGGGGATCAGACGAAGAAGAGGGGAAAGATGGGACTGTCATCAACACCAAGTCTTCGGTACAGGTCCCAAATAGTCCCTCGTCAAAATTTCTCAATCCCAATGTCGAGTCTGGATCCAAAGGTCGTCAAGTCTCAAAGGTGCAAATCTCTCTCTCTCTCGTAGTCTGTAGATACTGAAGTCAGATAGCGAGAGGGTGAGGGAGAGATAGTGGACTTAGAGGAGGAAGAAGAAGAACTCTCTCTCTCTCTCTCTCTCTCTCTCTCTCTCTCTCTCTCTCTCTCTCTCTCTCTCTCTCTCTCTCTCTCTCTCTCTCTCTCTCTTGTGAAGTACCGACCTGTGAAGGTGGCGCCTTGTTGCAGGTACATCGAGATGAAGCTGGAGCTATGGCGCCACATGTAAGTCTCCCTGGCCTCCACCCTCTCTCTCTCTCTCTCTCTCTCCAACACTACTCTAGCTCCTCATAGCGCCCAGCACTGAAGACTACTCCTAACGCTACTACCATTACTGCAGCGCTCCTCCAGAGTGCTGCTGCCGAATCCTGAAGACTGCCTCCTGCCTCCTGCATGTGAAGTGCCTGGGAAGTCCCTATGAACTACCTGCAGCCTGCAGGGCGGGCCAGTCTTATACAGTGCTGGCCCGTCCAGGAGGCTGCTCTTGCCAATGCCAAAACGTGCCAGACCCTGGCGTTGAAGTTCAAACAAAGGTTAAAACAGGCCCAAAATGGCCTGTGCTAAAACCCTGGTCCTGTGCCTAAGTTTCAGGGCAGGTCGATCTTATGAGGGCCTGAAAATGGCCCTCCGTTTCAGGCTGAAAAGACTTAGGGCCTGGAGGGCCCTTTTTTAGGCTGAAACGACACAGGGCCTGTAGGCCCTTGTTTTCAGGCTTTCAGGCTGAAACGACACAAGGCCTGTAGGCCCTTGTTTTCAGGCTTTCAGGCTGAAACGACACAGGGCCTGAAAATGGCCCTCGTTTGCAGGCACAGCATGTTGCAGGCGCAACATGTAACACCACCCCCTACTTATGAAGTCAAGCCGGGTCGAGGGCGAAGCTGACGATCTGAAGGTGGAACCTGGACGCGGGTGCGACGTGGAGCTGAAGATACCGCCTTGCCTTGCATCTGGAGTTCTTCGCGTGCGAGAACATCCGGTCCTGTTGCTTGGAGTTCTACACGGGTCAACCAACGGTCAACTTTGTGGGTGCAGTACGCAAAGTGTACCAAGTATTCCGTCCGCCTATTGTTGTAGCGTCACTGGGAAATGATGTCGCCAACCTCTTGAAAACCGTCCATAGAGGGTGGGTCTTGTGATCGTCGCCCGGGAAAGTCGTCGTGTTTCGCTGGCGTGTAAAGAGCCAACTTGGAGCAATGAAAGACCTGGTAGACGGGCAAGTGGGCAGGCACCTGAATGATGAAGGAAGGTCCTTCGGATGCATCCCCAGCGGCTGCCATGATCGTCGGCCAGGGCCCCATCCATTTCGGGAGAAGCCTGCGAGAGATATCTTGTTTGAGGCTGAATTCTGCACCGAAAACCCAAACGAGGTCGCCGACGCGGAATGGACAAGGAAGACGCTGGCGATTGGCATGTTGGCTCATGCGTTGCTGCGTCTTAGCCATCTGGTCACGTGCCTTGACAAGTAGCTCTTGCATCTGACGCAAGAAGAGAGGATGGTCGTCGCTATCGGCCGCTCGTAGAATGATGGTGTCCAACGGAGAAGTGACCGGCGAGCCATGCTCGTACTTGAAAGGCGACATCCCGATAGTTGGGTGGATGGACGAGTTGTATGCCAACTCGACATCCGGCAGCCGCTCAACCCAATCCTTTTGGTCGGGACGGATGAGAGTGCGAAGGAAAATCTGTGCCGTCTGATGCGCCCTCTCCGTTTGGCCATCGGTTTGGGGGTGGCGAGCCAAACTTGGTTTGAGAGATGAGCCCCATCGTTTGATGAGCGCCAACCAAAAATCCGACATGAACCGAGTGTCGCGGTTGCAGAGGATTTCCTTGGGGTAACCCTTGGTTCGAATCCAACTGGCGTAAAGAACCTTGGCCAACTCTGGTGCCTTGGCATGATAGCGGCAAGGCAAAAACATGACAAACTTGGTGAGTCGGTCGACCACCGTGAGAATCCCATCCACACCGGTCTTGTGCTTGGGGAACGGTCCGGTAATGTTCATGGCAATCGCTTCCCTCCAGCGCAAGGGGATCGGTAATGGTCGCAACTCGCCATACGGACGATGGTTGCGGGATTTGCAACGTCGGCAAACTTCGCATGACTCGCAATAGCGTGTGACGTCGCCGAGAAGGCCGGGCCACCAAAAGCGCTCGCAAAGTCGACGAATCGTTCGATTGACTCCGAAGTGTCCGGTGGCGGGAGCATCGTGGAACTCGCCAAGAAGCCGTGTACGCAAGTGAGAGTCACTCGGTACGCAAAGAAGGTCCTTCCCCCGCGTGTGGACAAGCAAGTACCCCTCTTGGATCCGGTAGTGACAAGGTGCCAGATTAGGAGAGGAGCAATTCGCGTACTTGTCGCGAAACTCGGGGTCGACTTGGTAGCCGCGGGTGAAACTGTCCCACAGATTGTCGTCGATCTCGAAGGTCGAATAAACTGCGGTACAATGATCCGGACGCCGTGAAAGAGCATCCGCAAAACGGTTAGACTTCCCCGGAATGTGATCGGGAAAGAAGTCGAATTGGTCGATGGTGCTATTGACGGTGTCTTGGGTCTTGTAGAAGACCAACGGATTGTTGTTCATTACCCATCGGAATTGACTTCGACCAAGGAGGAAGTGCCGCCACCGCTTGAGCGTGTGGACAAAGGCTAGGAGCTCCTTCTTGCGTGCATCATCAATGGAGTGCATGACAGGCACTTTCTTACTGAAGTACTCGACCGGGTGCTCGTCCACGCTATCGTGTTGTTCGAGGACGACACCAATGCCATAGCCGGAGGCATCTGTAGTGACGCGCGTTGGCAATAGCACGTCTTATATGCGCAAGACCTCCGCAGATAATAGCGCGGCTTTGAGAGCCAAAAATGATTCCCGCCCATCCTCACCAAAGTCAAACGGTCGATCCTCGCATTGAAGCTTGGTCAAGTGGGTCGCGATCTTCGAGTATCCCTTGATAAAACATTGGTTGTAGCCGACAAGGCTAAGGAACGAGCGGACATTTGTGACGTTCAGCGGCTCCGACCACTCTTGGATGGCTTGAATCTTGTCCGACAACGAACTGATGCCCTCCGGTGTGACGAAGTGGTGCAAGTATTCCAGCTCTTGCCAGACAAATTCACACTTGTCGCGGTTGGCTTTGTACTTGGCGCGACGGAGCGTCTCCAACACTCATCGAAGGTGCTCAAGATGATCCTCCAATGTCCGACTATGGACGAGAATGTTGTCTAAGTAAACCAGCACGAACCGGTCCAACATCGCACGAAACTCGTTGGTCATTGCCGCTTGAAAGGTCGTCGGGGCATTGGTGAGGCCGCAAGGCATGACCACCCACTCAAAATGTCCATACCGCGTCTTGAACGCGGATTTATAGTGATCGTTCGATCGGATCGAAATCTGATGATATCCCGACTTCAAATCCAACTTAGAAAAGTACTTCACACCACCCAATCGCTCAAGGAGATCGTCAATACGGGGAAGAGGCCCCGCATTCTTGACGGTTTGCACGTTGAGTTTGCGGTAGTCGATGCACAATCGTAGATCTTTGTTCTTCTTTCGTACGAAGAGAACTGGCACTCCATATGGGGAGCTACTAGGGCGGATCCAACCTTTGTCCAACAAGTCATCGAGTTGCGTGCGGAGGACCGTAAGCTCCTCCTCGCTCATGCGGTAAATGCAGCCTTTCGGCGGCACAGCACCGGCCTCAAGAGTGATCTCATGAGAGATCGGCCGATCCGGCACCACACCGGTAGGTGACTCGAAGATGTCGGTGAACTCGTCAAGCAACCGCACCACACGAGGGTCCGAAGACAAGTTCGTGGGGGAAGAATCAGCTACTGCAACGGTCCATAGAAAGCATAGGCCTATCTCGTCCGGCTGCTCATAAGCGCAAGTAGCCCAAAACGACTTGGCCGTCACCACTTGGCATCGGATCGAAGGGTGCGGAAGAGGAATAGTACACGACACTTCGACGCTGAAGGCGTCCCGAACGGTAAGAGTCCGCCGGTGGAAGTTGACCGTGTGATCGACACTTGCAAGCCCAGGCATTCCCAAAATGATATCGAAGTCCCGTGTCTAAAATGTCGAACGCCACCGTGCGCATGCATAAGGTGCAAAATACACCGGTACGGCCTCGATGTAACGGTCAATAAGTTGTTGCGTCCTTCGACTTGATCGCCGTCGGGTTTGCCTTCCTCCGAACTTGTGCGCCAAGGCCAGTCCTTTGCATAAAGGCTTGGCTCATGAAATTGCGAGTCGCTCCGCTATCCAGCAAAGCGTTGCAGGACGCTTGCCCAACTTCGATGCGGACATAGAGGAGCGGTGCGTTGTTGTCATTGTACCGCTGCTTGCGAAACTCGCGGGCCACATTGGTAACATACGCAAGGATGTCCCCCACCGCAGCTTCGTCATCCGTCGGCAAAATTGGTGGTGCATAGAAGGATATATACGTGTGGAGATGAGTGCATAATGCTGCGCATTGCGGTCCCAGCTAGCGGCCTGTGGTCGGGAAAGGAAGCCATGCGAAATCCTCCGACGTGAGCGGGTCCAAGACCTCTATGTTGAACTCGTGTGCCGAACCCTGTGAAGAACCACTTGAAGACGATAAGTCGCCGCTGTCGGACGGAGAAGATGGCGCACACACGTCTTGTCCTTGAGCATGAGTACCCAGCGTAGGAACGAGCCGGACAACATAGTTCTCATAAGAATATAGAAGAGGAGGACTATCGATTTCCGCATGTGCCTCGGAACGAAGGGCGGTCACCCGCGAAGCAACCGGTTCCGAAGGCGTCGAGAGTGTCGTCGATTCACTCCCGGTGGTGCTCAGTTTCCTGACTTGCCCTTGCCTTTCAACGGGCAACCCACTATGTTGTGGAGATCACTCTTGCACCACAGACAACATTGGAATCTCGTGCGTAGCTTGTACGCATGTTCGGAGCGACCGTAGTGGGACCATGGGGTTGGAGCTGTTGCGCCGGACCCGCGGATAAATGCGGTGTTTGCCTTCGTCTTGCCGCGTTCTCGGCCTTTGCCAGGGCGGCCACCATCCCAGGCGGCTGCGCGAGTCTGTCCCTTTCATTGGCAGACACGGCCTCGCTAGAAGGGCCGGTTGGCGTTGCCGCCGTGACCACGGCCACTTTCGGTCGATGCTGATCTCTGCTCGGGCCTTTCGCAGACGAACGGTTGACGTTCTTGGCCTCCTTGTTCGTGACAATGATTTGTGCGGCCTTGTCAAAAAGCTCCGCCGTTGTCGTCAGGGTGTCCTCGACGTGAGTCAAGGCATTGCCCAACGTCGGACACGACCTCATGATGAAGTAGTGTTTGACGACCTTGAAGCCCATCTGAATGTCTGGGACAGATGTCAAGCATTGGTACTCGGCAATCCTGTCAACACTCGGCATCGTGCCTTGTTCGAAGGTCAACAATTTGTCCATTGCCTTTATCTTCGGCGGCTCTACTTGGAACCGCTTATGCCACACCGCCTTTAGATTATCCCAACTGATCTTGGTGTACAAGTCGGCAGCTACCACCCCGTACTTGGACAAGAGATTGTCCAACCATGCTTGGCACTCGCCCCCCAACCGGGAGTATAAGTACGTGTGTTTCTTGTCCTCGCTGATGTGATGTAGCTGCAACTTGAGTTCAAACTTGCGGAACTATGAAATCGGGTCCGTCTTTGTCGAATCGCAAAAAATCTCCTGACCATCGAACTTTGGAGTCGTCTCGCGCGGTGCCGAACTTGGGTTGGCGGCGGCAGCACAGATCTGCTGCTCCAGTTGTTGCGTGGCGGTTTGCTGTAGCTGCGCGCCCTCCTTGAGGGCTCCGACGTCAATCTCTTGCATGCAGTTCAGGAGGCAGGAGGTAGTCTTCAGGATTCGGCAACAATACTCTGGAGGAGCGCTGCAGTAGTAGTAGTAGCGTTAGCAGTAGTCTTCAGCGCTGGGCGCTAGTTGGAGCTAGAGTAGTACTGGAGGGAGAGAAAGATTTGGTGGAGGCCAGGGAGACTTACCTGCAGCGCCATAGCTCCAGCTTCGTCTTCGAGGGACCTGCAGCACGGCGCCATCTTCAGAGGTTAGTACCTGGCACATGAGAGAGAGAGAGAGAGAGAGAGAGAGAGAGAGAG